TTCTATGCTTATATAATCGATTACTTGTGTTTTATAACAACATTTATTCAGTTTCATTTCATAAGCCGTATGCATAAGCACTTAAAACTTATTAATTTAATTGATGTATTCATTGATTTTGAGGACTTGACATCGAATTGAAAGCTTTCGGTTAATTGATTGATGGCTCTAACCATAAGTTATTTGTCTTAATTATGCGTTAACTCACAGACAGGTTCAATGTCATACATATTATGCACACAAAATAACAGCAAATATTCATGTTTAACAATTCCGCAGCTTTTATCTAAATTCTCGCTTAAAATGTTAGTCATATTTTGATTGCATTTTTTAAAAAATTTTATTATATAAACAAATGTCAATTTTATTGAACATACAAAGGATTAATTTTGCGAAATATGTAATAAAAAGTGGTATAAAACGCCGGGAATAGTGTGTCACGTGTAGGTAGAGTTAAAGTACGCTAAGAATCCTTAAAATCGTTAAATACTTGTTTATAAGTTATAATAATTCATATGCTAAATCTTAAGTACAAACTTAAAATAATCGGAATTTATATATACACTCAAACCTCCTTATAATGAACCAGGTTGTTTTTCAAAAAAGTTCATTATATAGAGGGGTTCATTATAATGAATATCCAAAAAAGAAGTATGAAAATAAGCCTATATTAATTTGCCATATTATATTAAACACCATTATATTTGAATAGGTAATTTTATGGAAGATATCAAAGCAAATAATTTTATCAATAGACAAAACATAATTCGATTTAAGATTTCATGCGGGGAAAAATTAAAAAAGAATTATTTTTTAATAATCATTATTTTAAAAATAATCGCTCAATTTTAAATAGGTATTTTAAGCTAACAAGCCTATTGTACAGTATATAATGAACTTAAAAATTAATTGGATTTTAAAATAATATTTATTTTAAAAACAAATAGCATTATAATTTATAATAATTATAATATACCATTATTTTATATCCAACCCCATCTACATGAATTTAATCTTTTTTTATTAGAATTATATAAAGTACAGTAAATACCCCACTATACTATAATATTCCATTTAATAAATTAAATACAATATTTTTATAAAGTTTTCCTTCTAATTAGTTATATTTAAAACTTTCTTTCATTTTATAATCAAATTTTTATTGCAAAATATAATGAATTTAACCTTTAGTGCCGTTAAGGGCACAATTGTATTCATATACTTTCTGATCTCTCATCGGTAATCATATTAAAAATAATTTCTGAAATAAATATGGGCAGGTATTGGCAATCTTCTTTATCTAAATATTGTGAAGTACTTATATTATTCATTTTGTGAACAATAAATGAATTCAAAATAAACACAACATTTATGATTGTTAATTTTCAATTTATACTTCATGTAAATGTTTTTGCAATATTTTACAGTTTTGGTAAAATATTGGTTCATTATATCCAATAGGTTTTCTATGGATATTTGTTCATTTGTATCCAAAAATTGGTTCATAATATGCAGGGGTTCATTATATAAAGGTTCATTATAACCAAGTGATTTTAACATTATATCTATGGCAAGTGAATTTTGTTTTCAGAAAAAGTTCATAATATAGAGGGGTTCATAATAAACAGGTTCATTATAAGGAGGTTTAAGTGTATATAACATTGAGAATTAGTTTTATAAGATTTAATGCAAGATTTATTATTTAATTTATCAGTACTCGCATTAATCACATCATTAATTCTGGGCTCTATTCATAGATTGTTTATTAGTTATGATTTTGTATTACCACTTATGATATATTTCTTCTAATATTAGAAAAATTTTGATTAATAGGTAACCTTTTTTAGGCACTAATTTTTAAAAGTTATTTTGAATGTTAATCTTACTTTAATTTAATTAATGATTTATTTCAGCACTAAAATAAATTAGAATATTTTAATGCAATTTAAATAATTATTTTGATTAAATTTTGATTAAATTCAAACCTTAATTAGTTTTACTTAAGATATTGCATAAAGTTTTAGATCAGTTGGTCATGAATTAAACACAACATGTTTAACAACACTTATAATACATAAAAAATGATTGTAATATTTTTGTATGGTAAATACCATAATAATAATAAATGTAATATTGTTAGAAAAAATGTGAAAAGCGTTTATTATATTTGTCAATAAGAGACCTATTTTTGAAAAATCTTATTTATCATAAATACATGTATAAGTATTATTTATTGAAAATTCTTTAAGAATACTTATATAGCAATTTAAACGCTTAAGTATAGCATATAATTCAAATGTTATTTTCGATTAGTGGTAGCGCACAGAGTGTGTCAACTATTTTAATGGGTTTCTCACCACAAAAAAATATATTAGACTCAACGGAAAGGTAAGCAAAATAACCTGAGCTATGGATGCAAAAAGTATAGAAATACGCCACAGGTTTGTATTTGTGTTATTTCAGTGTTATAGTCATCTATAGAGAACATTAGCCTTAAAGTTAATGTGAATTTCATTCAATCTTCACTCTCTGAAGAGACTTGAGTTTATCTGTCATTAAAAAAATAAATTAAAAACAAAGACAGCGTTTAAAATAACAACACTTTCTACGATGTTGTCTATGGGTTGCTTTAAAAAACTATTTATTATTTCGCACTTGTCTCACACTCCCAATATATGACAATTCTTACAGTGAAATAAGATTATCATTAAACAGGTTTAGTGTCTGTTTTTCAAAAAAAAACTTGAGTTTTGAAAACTTTTTAAATAAAAAAATGTTGTGATAAACAAATAAGAAATGTTAAGAACTTTTGGAAAATGCATTTTTGCACAAAACCACTGATAAATAACTAAATACATTGACTTTTTTTTATATTTGTTGCTCTGAAAAATCATTAATTTTATAAATAGTGTGTTTGTGTGGAGAATCAAATGTGAAACAAGTATTTATATTTATGCGAATCTCGATTCCAAGAATCTCATTGTATAATACAGTGGTCTCAATGTTTCCATTAAAAAGTGGTTCTGATAACACATTTCTTAATTTGATTAATATATACTCAATGGGTTATAGCCTATAACTTATAGGAATTGAACACATTTTGAGTGGAAATGTGAGTTTCAAAGCGACAAACCGGTTGATGTGAATGTTCTCTACCATTGATTCTATGCTTATATAATCGATTACTTGTGTTTTATAACAACATTTATTCAGTTTCATTTCATAAGCCGTATAGCATAAGCACTTAAAACTTATTAATTTAATTGATGTATTCATTGATTTTGAGGACTTGACATCGAATTGAAAGCTTTTCGGTTAATTGATTGATGGCTCTAACCATAAGTTATTTGTCTTAATTATGCGTTAACCGTGTCTGTCCAAGTTACAGTATGTATAATACGTGTGTTTTATTGTCGTTTATAAGTACAAATTGTTAAGGCGTCGAAAATAGATTTAAGAGCGAATTTTACAATCAGTATAAAACTAACGTAAAAAATCGTAAACAATTTCCCAGAATTTTTTAGATCATTTAAAACGAGTCTAAACATTTACAGCGATTTTGTTTTTCAACATAAATATAAACATAAGAATTATATAGTTAGTCATATTTTGATTGCATTTTTTTCGTAAACAATTTCCCAGAATTTTTTAGATCATTTAAAACGAGTCTAAACATTTACAGCGATTTTGTTTTTCAACATAAATATAAACATAAGAATTATATATAAACATGTTTATAATTTATTAATAAATATTCTTTTCTTATTGATTGTGTAATAACTAATTAATAGAAATATTGGGTTAAAACTTAAATTGATTTGCAATCATAAATAAAAATTTTATTTCCTTCCGTTCAAACAATATTTATGTTAGACTACGGTATTTGCTTATTAAAAACTTTTCCTTTGTCGTATGTCATTAATGTATAGAAATTAGTAATAACTTTGTTTTGGGAAATTCTTTTCGTAACATCTATTTTGAATATTCATTTATTAAATAAGCCTTTTTATAATTGAATTAAAAATTCTTGGGAAATTATTTAAATTAACAATATATTATATTAAACAAAAGCAATAAAACTATTTGAATTCATTATTTTCATTACTTCTGTATAGCATTTAAATAATTATGTATTGCTTTTGTTGAAAAAACCAGTTCTTAATGCAAGGAAAATGTATTACATAATTGCTATCCAACCAAAAGTTTAGTTAGTCATATTTTGATTGCATTTTTTTCGTAAACAATTTCCCAGAATTTTTTAGATCATTTAAAACGAGTCTAAACATTTACAGCGATTTTGTTTTTCAACATAAATATAAACATAAGAATTATATTATATATAAAACATGTTTATAATTTATTAATAAATATTATTTTCTTATTGATTGTGTAATAACTAATTAATAGAAATATTGGGTTAAAACTTAAATTGATTTGCAATCATAAATAAAAATTTTATTTCCTTCCGTTCAAACAATATTTATGTTAAACTACTGTATTTGCTTATTAAAAACTTTTCCTTTTTACTCGTATGTCATTAATGTATAAAAATTAGTAATAACTTTGTTTTGGGAAATTCTTTTCGTAACATCTAGTTTGAATATTCATTTATTAAATAAGCCTTTTTATAATTGAATTAAAAATTCTTGGAAAATTATTTAAATTAACAATATATTATATTAAACAAAAGTAATAAAGCTATTTGAATTCATTATTTTCATTACTTCTGTATAGCATTTAAATAATTATGTATTGCTTTTGTTGAAAAAACCAGTTCTTAATGCAAGGAAAATGTATTACATAATTGCTATCCAACCAAAAGTTTGTATTTCATAGCAAATAAATGCATAGAAAGGACTGTACTTTTATTAGAGTCGACAAAAATTGCATGACTTTGTTCCCCATCCGGCACTGTATTAAATGAATCGATTGGACTATACATTCATTATTAATATTAAAATTTTTGTTCAAATATTTATGCATTGAATCGTCTGAAAGACTGAACAAATAAGTGAATTCATAAGTATTGACACTTTCAGACCTATATGTCATTTGTTTCAATGCATTCTCGACCAAAGAATAACTTTAATGTCGAATAACTTATAAACTTATTGTGCGATCTATAGGCACAACATATTCTGCGGGTGTGACTACTGTATTGGATATTCAGCAAAAAATATAAGTTTGTGCTTAAAATTGTTTTTTAATACTTTTCATAATCAGTAGTTGTGGCGAAAGTATGTCACAAATACCTGTATTTGTTGTATTGCTATTCCTAACTGTTCCACAAACATACCTGAGCGCTGGCGATGAGACTAACTTATTGACTAAATTGGACTGTCAGGTATATCTAATTATTTGTCAATTAAAATATTTAGTCCTGTTAATCAAGCCTAACAAAGCACCGGTACTTTATCAGTCAAGTGTTTCTGCTATTCTATTTTGTGTCCAAAATTCGTTAATTTAATTTGAATTAAATTTGGTGTTTTTGTTATTTAATTAACAAAACTTTAAAACACAAAAATGAACTTTTTTGTTGTTGCTTTCTCTACGTTTGATAGCCGGGAGAAAAGCGTATATTTGATTACGAGAGCACAACCCAACTCTGGGGACCCCTTCAAGAAAATTTCTTAGTTAGAGCTGATGTTATTGTCCATTGTTTGGGAACCGATGAAAATGGCAAATATGGGGCACAGGGCTTGAAATATATGGTCCAAATCGAGAACTTGAAGCCATCAGTCGTTAAGGAGAAGTTAGTCTCACATCTAGTATATAATTAATGAGCGAAACTATGCATAATTTTGAATGAATTTAATTATCATAAAATATAGTTTATAATTGAAATTCAATTTCAAAGACAGAATGAGATCACAAAACGCAGTCGGAGTAAGAGAGGGGTCGGCAGTTGGTTCAAACAGGCCTGGGTTGACGTCAAAGACTTCTTCGTTAATCTATTCTCCAAAAGAAACAAAAAGACTGACAAAGACTTTGACTTCGAGTTCGAGAAACAACCGTCAAGTTTGCAATACCAGTGCAAAGGGACTAAAGATGCCAATCGTGTCAAGAGATCGGCTCCTACTCCTAATTATGAGAATATAGTTTACAACAAAATGTTTTCTACACCTTTTGTTTTCATACAATTATCCAACGGATCTATACCTGAGATAAGATTCAGCGATAAAGATAACGATTTGTCGGTTAAAAATTTCAAGAGACATATCGCAGATACTTTCGCCACACAACTAGACGCGTCCAAACAGCGAGTGTTAGAGCAAAGTCCAATTGGCGCTCACTTTTCCAGCTATTCATACGATGACACCGAAAGGATTGAAGATTCACTTCAGCCAACGGCTGACGGAATGAGTCTTAAACTATCGTCAAGTTTCCTATCGTTGTCTCAAACGAAAGACATCAAACAGTTGGCAGTTATGCGAGATGTGGCACCCGATGACATGATGGAGATCGGGAATGGGATCGGATTAAATTACGATTCTTCACAGATAGGTGTCAATGCAAAACAAATACAGAAAATATCTGAAGGACGGCTTACAACCACCGGTGTGTGAAATCATAGTTTTATGCTTAATGTGTTGAATGGCATTGAGATCTTCAAAACAAATAGAGACTAGAATTCCATTGAATACAAAACTTTTATTTCCTTCAAATACTCGTATATTTAATATTATGACTCATTTAAAGCTAACACTAAATAGTGATTTACTCTTTCCTGTTATCAATTAGCCGGACATTTGTCGTTCTCATTGGTGAACCCATCAAAAAATTTGAGGACAAAACGAGATACAAATGAAAATCAAGAAGAAATTGAGAACTATCTCAAAGTTCGCACCAAATATTCACTTTCGGTAGAAATAACTCTCAATTTAATGAGCATTTTATTTCAAACAATAATTTATTGTTCAAAAATAGATGACGAAAAGAATAACAAAGAGATCGACAGATGAAAAGGAAAAATTAGAAACTTTGGTGGAAATGGAGTCTAAACTTAACCTAAAAGGGGAAACAATTGTTTCAGAATCGACTTCAGGTTTTATTAAAAATAAAGACGATTTAATATAAAATGTCAGTAACTTATAGATTCATTTCCTAGATAATTCATTAAAGGAAAAATTGGATATGTATCAGAAAAATTTAAAAGATATGTTTACAAACAAAAATATTCAGCAAATTGCTAAACTTCTTAGCGATAATCAAAATCCAAGTATAAAATATTCTTGATATTCTTGATGTTCAATATAATAAAATTAAGATAATTTTTTTCTAATTAGTATACATTTTGGTGATGAAAGCCTTAAATTTGGAAGTAATGCTTAATGAAGACAAGTCTGTTTCGTCGGCCACTCGTTTGGTTAACGATAACATAAATGATAAGAAAATTAAAGAAGTTTGTGGTCACAAGTTGTCACTTAAAAATAAGCAATGCTTTGACTTAATGATGATTTTAGTCAAGTCTCAATCAACTACAGCACAACTATTACTGATCAATGAACTAAAAGCTGAAAGTACTAACCAGGGCAAAAACGAAATTTTAAAACTTTTGGTTCAAACACCAAGTCCACAGAATTGGCTCATAAATCAAATGCTGGACATTATGAAAGCTCAGACTAATAGCAATGTTGAGGGAATCCTATTGTTAGCGATTAGTAATTTAGGATATCATTCAAACTCCAAAGAAATTAAGAATAAAATTGCAGATATATTAAGATTTAAATTGCATGAAATGGACTGCAATTCAGATGAAGACTCATTACTTGTGGACACATTGGAAGCGATTGGAAACCTCGGTTACAATTCTACCATTCCTTACAGCGAAAGATTTGGTGATTCATGTCTTCAATCAGACTCTATAAGAGTGGCAGCCATTCACTCGTGTCGACGACTTCTAACTCATCCATCGGTGCAGAAATGGTTTCTTAAATTACTTAAAGAGCCGACAAATTCATGTGTTATTAAACAGGAAGTGGTGAACGCATTGATAGAAGACATAAACGCAATGGAAATGAGTGGTCCTCAGTATACTCGTTGGCCAAAGATTGACTTCAATGAAATTGATAACATCTTGAGTGAGAATCTCATTCAAATCAAACACAATGAATGCTTTCAGGAGAATATAATGCGATATTTTGAGCGTAAAAGTGATTCTCGAGCCAAACTTGTTGTCAAAAAGGCCAAAAGGATTCGTTCAAAACGAGCCGTTTTTGATAGCTTTTGGACCGAAAGTTATTGTAAGGATTGGGTACCAGAAGAAGGCAAGAAAGAGGGGACAAATCCGACGCCAAGCGATGCCTCTGTTATAGTATCGGACAGAATGCGAGAATCGGAAGACACCGAACAGTCGAGTGCATCGTATCTCAAACGCCGGAAATGTTCGGCCAGTAAGTCATTTGGACCAAACCAGGCTCAGGCACAGTTTAAGGCCGACATAATGACGGACGCGTCCGGTTCTGTAGAAAACCCGGACTATAAACTAATGGCACAATTCGTTGCCGGCACTCACTTTCTGGGCAAAGACATAGATATCGGTAAAATGTATGTCTACCATAAGAAGGATCAGTCCCGAGCCTATGTCAACATTTTTGGCAACACATTAGTAGACGCGGCTACCAGTGATTGTAATGGCACTACAGTTCAGCCCTATATGGTGTCCAATTATTTCCCGGTTTATGAGTTCAGTCTATGGATCGTTCAAATGAGTTTAGGCATACGAATGAACGCACAAATGGACTTTGATTTACCGAAATTCAATTGTGCCAACAAAAAGGCTGAACAATTGCAGACCATTCATTTCAAACCAGAAGCCAAGGTTAAGGCATCGGGAGAAGTATCCGGTAAAGTGTTGGTGAGTTACATAACATCTAAACACAATTTCACAAATTATAATCATTTAAATTGCTTTTCAGGTTATTAGAGGTGGAATGAATGTGGGAGGTACAAATCAATCGAGATTTTAATCGTTAAAAATCTAATATTTTTGTTTAATTAATAGGAGATTTCAATTACTATTCAAATCTTGATTTCGATCCATCGCCTCAATTATGTTTGTCTGTATATAACGGATATAATCCAATGAATGTTAGCATCAACTCGTGGTATCAGGTATTTAAACATTTATTTCCTCTTCAAATCGAGGAATGGGACCGAAATATCTAAAACTGTATTATGTGTACACAGTTCTGGCACCCGACGTGCTCTGAATGGATTGATAAAACCATTTGGAGTCCACTTTCGTTCAATTGGGAGATCAGAGACCACCACCGGAGCGCATGGATTGAAAATGAATGTCTTATCACCAGTAAAGACGCTAGTTCTATGCGAAAACGTATCGATCCGTAAAATATTCTGTATAATCATATTTTATTGAAACTTATGGTCATTTGCTAATTGTCTAAAATGCAAAACTTATTTATTGATGGGGTTAAACATAAACATGCTCGAATGTATCGAATTTATAATATAAAAACAATTCAATTAATAAAAGAAATACTTAATAAAAGAAATAAATTGTAGGAAAATAGTTGTCATTTAAAATAACTCCTGATATCAGACTTATTCGATGGACTCATAAATGTTGAGTTGAGAGGAGAGGCCCAGCGTTTAGTCGAACCGCTATTAGACTTGGATTTAATATTAGTAAAGCTATTCAATGCAATGATCTCTTCATCGCTGGTTTCACTGATTTCCGACCTCTCGGTGTCACTCATTGTTAGTGTTTCGTCAAAACTTGAATCAAAAGCAGTGTTTCCGCTGGAATTCAGTGAATATTGGCTCACGTGTTGAGTGCTTTCGTCATAAATCACTTTTGTCTTCATTTGGCTATTAGTGTCAAACAACTCATCGTTTGTTTTCTTCTGTTCGTGTCTAATGTCAGAGAAGTATTTGCTTTGAATGAGTGACTCATCGGTGCCTTCTTTGCTAACTTTGAATATATTCCGCGAATAAATATTTTGAGTCAAAGTATAATCATTTTGTGTGGAGTTCTTCAGTGGAGAACATCTCTTTGTCTCAACAGCTGAAGAATATTCGGACACCAATTGTCGACAATTAATAAATCTATTTTCATCCACTTTCACACGTTTAGAGCAAATCTCCAACTTTTGGGATTCAGTTGTCTTTGTGTTTGAGCGTCGAGTCTGAGGCACTGGTGTTGCGATCGGATTGTTGTTAGCATTAACTGGAAGTACTTTGTTGTTTGCACTCAACTTTTGTAATATAAGCTCATTTGTGGTCAACTTTTTCTTATAACTGATCCAATCTGGAGACCAAATACTATCACTCTTGGGTTCAATACAGTACGAGTCAATCACTTTAAGAGTCTTTGTGTCAACGTTTCCAAAGGCGTACTGAAAGGCAAAGTCTTCGCCCAATTGTGGGTCAAAATAACTTCCGGCATAATCTAAGTCTTCGGGTGAAATGTCTTTAGGATATGGCGTCAGAGGAACTAATTGTCGCGATTTGGGACAAAACACAAGTTGATACTTGAATGTATTGTCAGCTCTGATGAAGTCGTCGACATATTCTTTAGTTATCTTCACTTTTCTATTCATTTTGAGATAATTGGGAATCTTATACAAAACAGTCTTGAGATCTGTATTTGCGGTCATATTAAAGAACTTCTTCGCCCTCTGGATACCAATTCCGGGAAGATTTGGTAAAAAATCACAACCTGCCATAATGGCCATGTGCCGCAATTTGGACATGTCGTTTGAGTCAAACCCATTTCCCAAACAGTCCTTAATCAGTTTTATGTCCATAAGTTTACCGGATCCGTTTGAATCCAATTTAAACAAACAAAGCCTACACTTATAGACCAGAAGATCCGAGTCTTCGGTGATCGCGAAGTCTGCGAATCCATTGTTAACCAAATAAGCCATCTGTGGATCCGCTTCATAGGGCGCCACAATAAAGTCGATGCCATTGTCTCGTAAGCCATTCATGAGGTTCTTAATCATCTGAGGCGTTATTTCCACGCAATTCCTCATCAGTTCCCGGGCTTTAGATTCATTGCCTTCGGCTAACAATAACTCAATCTTCTGCCGAATATTATGGCGAATGGATGTCCTGTTACTGTGAGTCACCTCTTTTGCCGGCAATTTCTGGCCGTCGAAGACGACAATGGGTTTGATGTTGACTTGGATCAGCTGTTGGCACCTCTTGAGGCAGTAGTGGACGTACTGTTGGGTGTGTTGTTGTTGATATAGCTGTTGAGCGCATCCATACGACCCCCGATGCAGCCATCCGTTGCCATCTATCACTGCAACGCTTCCCGACAATGAGCTGATGTGCACATCGCTGGACGCCTTCTCCAACAGTGCGATCAACCCCTGGATTCCCATCACGAGTCCGCTTGAGACCAATTAGACCATCAATTTGTTGATAATATCATCCAATGGTGTGACTAATGGTCAACAAAACAATGCTTTCATTGAAAACAACAAATATTTTGTTTTCGCGCTATATTTCTAACATCAATAATGTTGTCATTGAATAGCATTGAGTGCTAAAGTAAGCTAACTTTATATGAAAGTATCCAACAGTTAAGCGGTTATTCATATAACACCAGTGATATTGGATTTGTTGCAAAGTTTGCAAACAAGTTAATAAACAAACGTTTTATTATTTCAAGTTTTATGACCAATGATCATATTATTCAACGGTATGAATGCCTGTATGAAGTGGTGATCCAGAAGTGGAAGTGCTGTCCAAATGGTGAAGACTTACGTAAAAGTGGTTTTTTATGGCTTTGTGTTGAGTGTGATCGGTGTTGGCATTGGATCTACTTTTGTGCCACAACTCAAACCACAGAAGAGAGATTTCACGATCAAAGTGAGTCCTATTCATGATCTTAATGATCATGTTGTCAATGATCTAGTCCATTTTTGTCATGATGGACACCATTAGTGCATTGTTTAACAGTTATGTTTGCATTGATGACAGACATCAGACAAACGATACATAGAAACTCTTCCAAAGAGCGCTGCCATGAAGTCAATCAACGCTGCCATCAATTCAGACGAACCATTCTTCGGCCGCAAACCCACGAAGGATTAGATTATCTTTAATTTGAACACATATTAAATATGTATTCAATTGTCTCGTAATCAATACAATCAATAATCAATGCATTCATTTATGTGTTCATAATTTGTCAAATATTGTAGATTTATAAATGTTATGATACTATACATGAAATAAAATCATTATTTATTCATCTGAACCGTTGTTAGCATTTCTTGCCTTAAGACATGTCTTGCATTCAAATCACTTCAAAACAGTTCACTATTAAATTGATATTAATCTTGACTTTAGTCCTGTTTTTTAGTGTTATTTCTCTGAAGCCAATCAAGACATCCAATTCAAGGATAAGTATATGAAATGAGGGGTTCTTTTGCAGTGAAGAGCAATAAATAGCTTTTGTATTCAATCGTCATATCATTAGTTCTTAGTTTCCAACAAAATTAGGGCTTATTTTGTATGAATAAAGTGTCAAACAATGAGTGAATCCGCAAAACTCCTGATTAAGAATTGCGAACAAATAGTTCAGGTGTGCAGTAGTGGACAGAAATACCTGAGAGGTGCAGATCAGGACAACATTGCCATACTTTGCAGACATAATGGCATCGGATGTAGTCTTGTCATTGGATTTGATGGACTTATTAAAGGTTTGGTCACATAAGATATGTTCATATATTTGGAGTCAATAATAAGATAAAACTTTTTCAGACATCGCTTACGACAATATAATTGCCGCCAAATATAATCAATTTGATGAAGTGATCGATGGAACCAATTGTTCGCTCATTCCGGGACTCGTTGACAGTCACTGTCATCCGGTATTTCATATGATATCAATGTCAATGTCAATGTCTAATAGTATCAACACATCAGGTGTTTGCCGGCGATCGGGTCTTCGAGTTCGACGCCAAGGCAAGGGGTGCCTCTTATATGGACATCCATTCACAAGGCGGTGGTATTTATTACACAGTCTCTCAGACACAGTTCGCATCTGAAGAACACCTTTTAGAACTTCTTGTGCGGAGAATCAAAGACATGGTGAGTTCATTGTGGTATCATTTATAACACTTTTATATCAAACAAAATGATATTTAATGGTAACATTCACTCACATCTGGTGTGTCTTTAATTCTCGACGAAGATGTCCTGCGGAACCACTTTATTGGAGTGTAAATCAGGCTATGGTTTGGATTTGGAGACCGAAACCAAAATGATGTCTGTCATCGAAAAGGCTAAGCAATGTTCACCAATGGATTTGGTGACCACATTCCTGGGCGCACATGCAGTTCCCAAGTAAGACACTTCATAACTTTGACTACGGTATCAGTTATATAATGGAATGAAATTTGATTTTATTTCAGAGGAATGACACCTGAAGAAGGAGTTAAAACTGTAATAGAAATGATGGAAAAGTTACGAAATAACCAGAATTTAAACATTGAATTCGTGGACGTCTTCTGCGAAAAGGGTTTGAAATATTGATTTATATTTTGAAAGATTGATAATTGTATCTAAATTTAAAGGCGTTTATGACGTGAAACAAAGTGAGGATATCTTGAAAGCTGGCAAAGAGTTGTTGAACGCTTTGCCCGCATTTCACGGTAAGACAATCAAACGATTTCTCTTTTTTATTAATTAATATGTCTTTCAAATGAAGACTAAAATATTGAATTTAAAAGTATTGAAAATTATTTACTGATTGATGACAAACACGGATTTGAATCGATAGTAAGGATCAGGTGTTTGATTGAAGACTACTTTGAATGCTATTGTTGACAACAGCCCTTGTCTTGAGTTCATCTCATGCCGACTATTGAACTCATTATTAATTCTTGAATTCATTTATTAATCAATTATTAATGAATTATCAAATTTTAGGCGAAGAACTCAATCATTTGGGATCTGCGGAAATGGGGGCCAGAGTTAAGGCCCGGTCTGTGAGTCATCTGGAAATGATAGGAGAAGAGGGCATAAAAGCTCTCTCAGAGCACGAAATAGTGGCCGTCGTGTGTCCGACAACTCTCTATCTCCTAAGACTACAGTCCCCTCCCGTCCGCAAAATGATTACCGATAATGTGATTATAGCCGTGGGATCTGATTTCAATCCAAACGCAATGTGTATTTATGAACCTTGACACTATATTTATTACATATATATTTAATTGTATTTTGCATTTTTAATGAATATTTAATTCAACATTTGATGGAAAGGTTATTCCCTTCCGATGGCAATGAATATAAGTGTCATGAAGTGTGGTCTAACTCCCAACGAATCCCTGTCCGCCACGACCATCAACGCTGCCTTTGCATTGAATCGATGGCAGACTCACGGCTCTCTCGAAGTGGGAAAATATGGCGATTGTCTGGTCATTGACTCATCCGATTGGAGACATATTGTATCCGATTTCGGAAACACATCCAAACTTATCAAACATGTCATCAAAAAAGGAAATGTTATTCAATGAAATGAATTTTTATTACAAATAAATGAGATTTTGATGAATTTAAATAAAAGTTTGATATAAAATCAAATCTAAATTAGCGAGAATTTAATGTTTAAACTGAAAAAATGAAAAAAACTAATATTCAATAGATATTTATTTTTGTCTATTTATCTGTTGAATAGATTTCAGAAATGAAAACTCTATTTATGGCTATTATTCGACATTTTTTGGCTGAGTCTTAATCCATGGGTCACTCAATAGCTGTGAAGTTGTGACCCTTTTGGTGACTTCCGGTTCAAGCATTTTGCGAATCATTGTCTTGAGTTCATTGGAAAGCTTTTCGATGACCCGCTTCTTGAAGTCCCAGTCCCTCTCGAGCTGTTTGTTAAGCATTTGCTTTTCATCATCTATTTTGAAGGGCAGTCCATCGCATACCATGATATAGAAACAGACGCCTAAACTCCAAACGTCTGCTATTAAGGGATTGTGAGGTTTCCGCTGAAGTATCTCTGGCGCTAAAAATTGAATATGGATTTTAGTTTAGGTATATATAAGTAATTGTATATAAACTGATCAAGCAAACATGCCGAAGTAAGGAATGCTTCCGCAATAAGTGGTCGAACGCTTCTCCTTCTCGTCGATGACCACTGAATAACTAAAATCACTTATTTTGGGATAAACTTTATCAGTGATGAGAATGTTCTCGAGCTTAAGATCCCTGTGCGCTATCTTCAAGTTGTGCATATAGTTGAGTGCTTCCACTATCCGCTTAATCATCTCCCAGGCCGTCGACTCAGTGAAGGCCCCCTTATCTCTCAACCAATCGGTAACCGTTCCGAGCGGACAGAACTCCATAATCATGAATATTCTGTTGATTGTCTGCGAGACCTCATATGTCTTAATAATTCCCGGATGTTTCAGTTGCCGAAGAATGTCTATCTCTCGCGGCAGGAATTTTATGCGATAGTTATCGTTGGCTTTGGTTAAGTCAATCACTTTGACGGCCACATACCGGCTCCGGTCGCTCAGGAATGCCTTATAGACTTCGGCGTAATTGCCGGAACCGATGGAATCGATGAGTTGATAGTTCTTCGACGCGAGATAATCGCGAACAACACTGAACTCTTTGGACTCTTTGGCTACGAGTCCCGACGCGTTATAGTTGGAAGACGCCAACGCCTTCTTCTTCTCCTCCTTCTTACCGCCGGACCTAACCTTCCCGTAAGCACTCTCTCCGCCCTTCACCGCAACCTTCGCTTCTTTGACCAGTTTTTCATCTTCAATCACTTTCGTCTGCTCGGAGTCCGTGTCTTCGGTGTCCGCTTTGAACAGTTTCTTTACGTCAATCCCTGAGTCCTTCACTGACTTCTCTTTAGCTGTAGGTTTAGAATGAGTCGGAGTTTTGGGCTTTTTATTGGCTGCAGAACTGGGATTCATATTTGTATCGGATTTAGACTTAGATTTTCCACAACAAGAACCCATTAGACACTCATTGCTATTACAAAACTAATATTTCAAGTTTAGGTTTTTCGTTAGATTAACAGTTATTTAGCGCTCAAACATTTGGACGCAATTCAATTTATTTGAAATTTTCAGATTACACGACAAAACAATGTACTGTAATGTCATTGAATCACCAAACAATTATTGTTAGTAAATATTATTTACTAAATAAACAATCAATAAACTACAATTAATCCAAATTTGAATAAATTAAGTTAATTGTCAATGGATGCGATTCTCAAATTGTGGGGCATATAGATGCCTCGATATGTGTGGAGATATACCGTATCTGGCAGTATCAGTTCTTGCATACTGGTGCCGGCATACCTGTGCTCTAAGTGTAAGTGATGTGTTAGCAAAATACATAAGAACTTAAACCAAATTGAAATGAGAATCGCGTCCATTGTCTAATTGCTATTATTTGCAAAACATCGATTGTCTCTCGATTTGAATAAACAATTTGTTTTGATAACAGGAATCAGAACTGAATTTACTTGAAAAACATAACAATGAACATCACATTAGCTCTGATTTACCAGAACTTCAATACAGTATATAATTATTGAATTCATAAATCATTTACTGTTTCATAAATAGTACGAGAAATGAGAGAATGAATGCATTGTTGTATTGAAGCTATAAAAGGGACTCTCATTTGAAATTCACTTCATTTAGCGGTCAATAAAAGTTACAAAATTCTCATCACTTTTGAACTCTATCTTCAAATTTGAGTCAAATATGAATCGCAATGAACTGGAAGTCGATTCCGAAGAGCAGAAGACACTGCGATCGGGCGGTGAGGTTATGGAGTCGAGGCATCGCCGCAGACGTCGTTCGGGCAGTTCGAAGGGCCGAAAGGGTCGCTCCCGGTCTGGGGGTCGACGCCGAAGGCGTTCCCATTCGAAGGGAAAAAGTGGTGGACGACGAAGAAGGAGAAGGAGATCGCACTCCGGAGGAGAGGAGGAGTGAAGTGTCGTTCCCTCGGAACCAAGACTTCAAACACAAAGACTTTTATCAAAATTATGTTTAAAATGATTTATTCCTGAAATAAAACTCTTTTCAAAATAAATTAAGTTTTCGTTTATTTAGTATAAGAATTGAATTATAAATAACCAAAGAATAGCTCAAAATATACCAGAATTTGAGTGAATCTATTGAAATATTCTTCAGTGGTTTCAAAGATAACGGGTTTTCAGTTAAAACCGTTGAAAACAGAAATTCCGTTAATTTTATCGGGGATTCAAATCAGTTTTTAACGGAATTTGCATTTAAATTTCAAATCATTTGATATTATATCACATCTCATGAACTGAAACACGAAATAAACGTCAATTTCGCGAGAACTGTAAGAAATAGTGAATTGATTTTGAAATTCAAAAACACTTTTTCGTAAGACTTACAGAGAATCTGAACAAACAGTTAATCCCCAGAAATATCTGCAGTACTTCTGAGACGAAGAAATTGATTGTATTGTAGGCCAACATCTGTTATATCATTGGACACATGGGTTGTTGCGGATCGAAGAACGCCGAGGAGGAGCCACAGCCGGAAGGAGAAGCGGAGGCGCCTCCTGCGGAAGAGCCGCCGGCGGCGCCCGAAGAGCCGAGCGCTTCGCAGTTGGGCTCCAAAGTTGGCGACGAAAGCGACTCCAAGATATTGGGCGCGCCGTCCGCCTCAGCCCTCGGCTCGTCCACCGGTTCTAAGAGTGGCTCTAAAACCGGCTCAAAGATGGGTTCAAAGACAGGCTCAAAGACCGGCTCAACGCTCGGCTCGAGTACCGGCTCCGGGATTGGCTCGTCGCTCGACTCCAGCTTTGGGTCGTCGCTGTCGGGCACCGGCGGCTCCGCCACATCGGGCACCGGCTCGTCGTCGATCGGCTCGAGCACCGGCTCAACCATGTCCTCGTCGATGGGCTCGCAGATGGGCTCGAAGATCGTATCCTCGCGGACCGGATCAGCCATCGGCGACGCCACCAAAACGGGCTCTAAAACCGGGTCGAAGACCGGCTCAAAGACCGGATCAAAGACCGGATCAAAGACCGGATCAAAGACCGGATCAAAGACAGGATCGCAGACCGGAACGGCGGACGACGGAGGGGCTCTTGGATTCAGTGGCGGTTCGAAGACTAGCTCTAAAACCGGCTCAAAGACCGGCGACTCGAAAGACACGGAAAAGCCGGCGTCGAAGACGAGCTCTAAAACCGGCTCCAAAACGGACTCCAAGACAGGGAGTGCCGCCGGAAGTGCCGTCGGGAGCTCCACCGACCCTAACCCCAAAAGTACGCTCAGCAAAGTCCCAACCGGTGGCGCCAAGAGTGGGGTGACTCCTCGTGGCGTCGGCAGTAAAGCCCCGGGATCTAAGACTTAGTCTAAAACTGGCGTATAGTTTGAATGCAACGAATCCATTGAATGATCGCAATATTTAGTCCATAAAAATCTATAATGTCTTACAGTTATACAGATATAGTTGAAAATAAACAATGAATTCGTGTTTTAATGATTTGTGGTTTCATTAGTTTGTTTTATCAGTAAATTTGTGGTAGTTTTTAATTTCAGATTAAATTCATTCACATTATTTAATGTATAACTAATCCAGTTCCTATTTCTTTATACTGTAATAAACCTTCGCCTACCATTCCTATGCATAACTATATTTCTGGTAGACTGTTCACTAACAAAAACCAATAGACATATACGGTAGTAATACTAAAGTAATTACTAATTATAAGTAATTATAGCTAATTATAAGTAATTATAGCTAATTATAACTAAAGTAATTATAAGCAATGGGTTTATTATAGAATATAATTAAAAATCAGAAAAAATTAACAAAATTAATTGACAAAAATCATAGACTATCGGACTAACCTTCGCCTACCATTCCTATGCATAACTATATTTCTGGTAGACTGTTCACTAACAAAAACCAATAGACATATACGGTAGTAATACTAAAGTAATTAGATTAATATTCATTAATATCGATTAATATTGATTTCATTAATATTCGTTACCCAAATAATATCTTATATTAATTTTTAGTCTTTTTTAATTGTTTTAATTAACTGTTTTTAGTATCTGATAGCCTGATTTTGGTAACAACTGTGGGTCGGATTTAATGAACTTATAAATCGTATAAAACTTATTTGACTGTATTTTTTAAAAGGCGAGAAAAACTCCGCAAACAAAACAGTGAATCAAATCTAATGTGTTTTTGTTGTATCGATCATCAAATTATTCATTTGTTTTTTTAGACAAATAAAAGTTTTATTTATAAAATGCTATGACTTTTGATTTCATGTATAATTTCATGTTTAAAATGAGTGTTTTCTCGTCCATTGAGTGCTTATTATTAGTATTAATGTTTGGATTAAAACTTTGTAATTATTTATAAAAAGAGTCATTAATTGATAACATTTAGTAAAATATATTTGTTGTGAGAATCAGTTGATATCTAACGGTTCAAACGTCTCCTCCCTGTCCTCATTGCGTTCCTCCAACTCTTTGACATCCATT